CTCCTAAAACAGGGATACCGATATTATAAATCACGCGAATGTTTTTTCTTAATTTTAAAAACCATAACTTTGTTTGATAAGTATTCAAGGGCAATTTTGAAACTCTTTTACAACTAGGTAAGCAAACTTTTTAGGAAATGTCGTTCATAAACTTCGTAATATCTTGACATCTTGTCATGATAATTGTTCAGTTGATTCTAATAAAATTATCGAAAGAAAAAGAGAATAGAGTTCAACAAGGCAAGGCGACGTTCACGGAGCACAACCTCGGAAAACTTTTCATAAAAATGATTATGATTCAACTATTTTAAGACATTCTGTCTGGTTAGTGTTCGACCCTTTTACAGTTTAACATTACGTTTTCCTCTTCCGATTCCATCTGAAAAACCAAATAGGAAAATCTATGATGGACAGTGCATAAAGTCCTTAAAGATTGAATAGTCTTAATATTTGTCTTCTGCCTCGTTTCTCCGACCCTTGTTAGTGATTTCTTTGCTACACTACCATCTTTTAAGGCATTTAGGACTTTTGTTATGGCCATTGGGTTTCCATTTATATGAATTTACAAGAGCGTTTCAGTGTTTTATTTATTTAACCCTTTTCATACGCCCGAAAACGATTTTGGCGTCTGTTGGCAGGTTTAGTTTCTGGTCTGTAGCTTTTGAACCGGTTGAAGGAAATTGAAACTACTTGACAGAACTATTTACGTAATGAGACAATGTGCAGAGCGCAAGTTTGACCTTCATCTGGTCAAGGTCAAAGCCACACTTAGTCATAAGTTATACATTTCAGTTTCGTGTCCGATCTGTATCTTTTAAATTCAATATTGGAAATATTTGGCAGACATTTTAATATAACGGCGCTGATGTGCCTAACGCAGACTTTGGCTTCCTTAGATCAAGGTCAATGTCACGTTTACTCGTTTAAAATCAAAATTATTTAAGCTTATACATTGTCTATTATAAAGGGAGATTACGACGTATAAATTTATTAATATGTCTCCTCATATATTATAACTAATATGTTACCTCCCTTTATTAAATTAAAATCTATTACTTTGTAACATTCACTTATAACAAAATATTATAAATGATATATATGAAATATCTCTGTTACCTCGTTTGGTCCTTTTATGGGCAGTCTTTCTTTAATTTATAGACCGATATAGATTGAAGGGTTGATATGAAGTTGTTGAACATGTTTATTACACATAACCACAAAATACGTTTAAAAAAGGATATATCAATATGATAAGTTGCAGGATGTTAATCTCATAGCTATCGCTGCTTTTCTAAATGGTTTAATTTTAAAAGCTAAAAGGAGGTAATAACAACACATTTGCATATGCCCGAAAATATTTTAAAATATCTATGTACTCTTACCGTAACATATATAAGTATCTATAAGTTTTCATGTGGCAGAGTATTGTTCTGTGGCATATCGTATCAAAATAGTTCTCGCTATTCTATTGCTTTTTGAAATAAAGCATGCTCTTGAAAAGTGTAATTAATTGGTTTCCAGTCTAATTAAAAAGTTATTTTGATTACTTAAAAACAAATTTGTACTAGGCGTATACTGTCCGGTCTATGCGGTGCTTTTTTTTTAGTTTGGTTTAACGTCGCACCAACGTTCTTTTATGTCGCTGAATAGCTTTCTTACGTAAAGAAACCGAAGACGCTGCCTCAGTTCGAATCTATTGCGTTGGAATGCAAGTGGTTTGAAGTCAACGCCCTTAACGACTCGGTCAGGGACGTACCTGTTTTTAATGTAACATTAAAGACAGTAAGATTTTTTTCAGGCTTGGAATTATTGTACTGAGGTGTTCTGAAGATGAATGTCTTGTTTATTGCATCATACAATTGTGGTAACACTTTTGTCTCCTTTTTATATGCCCGAAAGAATTTCGGACATATTATGTTATATCCCCTGGCGATCGTCCGTCCGTCTGTCCGTCCGTCCATCCGTCCGTCTGTCTGTCCGTCCGTCTGTTAGCAACTTGGTTTCCGGAGCATAACTTAAGTTCCATTTAGCCCACAATATTCAAACTTCATAGGATGATTGTCCATATTGGGTAGAAGACCCCTATTGATTTTGTGATCATAAGGTCAAAGATCAAGGTCACTGTGACCTTAAAACTGAAAACAGTTTCCGGAGCATAACTTAAGTTCCATTTGGCCTACAGTGTTCAAACTTCACAGGATGATTGTCCTTATTGGGTAGAAGACCTTTATTGATTTTGGGGTCACAAGGTCAAAGGTCAAGGTCACTATGACCTTAAAACTGAAAAACAGTTTCCGGAGCATAACTTGAGTTCCATTTGGCCTACAGTGTTCAAACTTCATAGGATGATTGTCCTTATTGGGTAGAAGACCTTTGTTGATTTTGGGGTCACAAGGTCAAAGGTCAAGGTCACTATGACCTTAAAACTGAAAAACAGTTTCCGGTGCATAACTTGAGTTCCATTTGGCCCACAATGTTCAAACTTCATAGGATGATTGTCCATATTGGGAAGAAGACCCCTATTGATTTTGGGGTCAAAGGTCAAGGTCACTTTTACTTTAGAATTGAAAACAGTTTCTGGGGCATAACTTAAAGTTCCATTTGGACCACAATATTGAAACTTCAAAGGAGGATTGTTATTTGAAGGAGGTAATACTTTATTTTACTCCCATGTCTTACAAATGCTTCATCTTTACTAAAAAAATCACTTTCGGGCATATTATGCTCCGCCTAGCGGTGCTCTTGTTTGTTTTTCTTGTCTACGGAAAACACTTTTCTTTCCACATAGTATTTCTTTTAATTTGACCTCCCCCAATTCCTCATCCTTCACGCCCCTTCCTCTACAACTTTAAACTTTTGTAGGTCTTTAAATTAGTTTTAATCTCTAATTACCTGTAGATTTATATGATTGTCTTGGTTGAATAATTTATAATGACATCCTTGATCCTTGAATATTGTTATGCACGACATAATTGTGTTGTAATGTTTACTTTCTTCTTTGAGACTCATTTTTCTACTTGGTCGGTTTAAGTACTCTAACTTGTTCTCTGTATACTCACCTAAATTGATTTTGTAGTCTGCTTTTAACATTTGTGTTCATCTTGTTTGTGTTCATCTTGTTTGTGATATTCAGGCATCATACCCTCTGATCATCTTTCAAAATTCCATGTTATTTTGTTCCGCACACCATTTTTCTCGTTTAGGGCGAACACATTATTTTACTTGTGTGGAATGTCGCGAACGTATCAAATTGAAGGTTCCATGATAACCGCCGTATGGACAGCTGCCGTTGTTTTGAAATTCAAAATTTCTTTATTTTCATTATGTTCCATTGCGCTTTGCCAGTGAACGTGGACGGTAGCTTGCATTTTCCAGTACCGTCCTTGAAAAGGCTCAATCAAACCGAACCTGTAATATTTAAATTTCGCCGTTTTTACGCGTTCTATAGGAATTTATATTTTCTCTATTTTGTCTGGGTTTGTTATTTATCGTTCAACGGTAAACATCCCATTTCCCTGAATTTTCGATTTCGCACACCCTTCATTGGCCCTCTGGTTACGTTTTTTCTTTAACACTTGTCCCTGTCAACCTTTTAATCAATAAAATATGTTGTGTCAGTTTCCTAACTGTTATAACGCCATGTTCTTGAATTGTCTTTTTATGAACTATCCTGTATCTGTTCGGTGCCCTGCTGTGTTCCTCGTCGATGGTCCGATGTTGCAGCATATTGGTGGGAGCTGCGTTCAATGAATGCTGCCTTACCTTATGATCTTTGTCCTCTTTTTATTTTTAGTTGGATGGTTCTAACATTCCTGTTTGAATGCCGTATAATCACCATTATACAGATAGGTTGCCTTTTTTTATTTGTCTTTTGACAGATTGTATGCGATATTCGATACACCATACACCGCTTTTCATGGAATGGCACTAACGTTTCATAGTGAACTTTTCGTCCGTTCTCTTTCCTTGTGCCCTTCTTTTTTTATAATGTCCTGCTGAGTTCCTTGTCGGTAGTCCTGTGTTGCTTGGTCGTATAGGGGATGCGTTCATTGAATGCCGCCCTTCCTTGTTGATCTTGTTTTTCATTTTCTATAATTATCGCCGCCTCAATTTAACTGAGCCTGCAAAATTTGTAATTGACCGTCTTAAAGACTTTTTTACTCTATTTTAGTCCATAACCTTAAATAGTCTTTGCAATATGTCTTGTCTATTATTAACGATCTAAAACGATTTGTTTCTAAGACTGAAATGGGAAGTGCCATTTTACAGTATCTGCAATGTTTTCTAAAACAGGCGTATTGTTTTAGATTTGTGAATGAATTTATGTTCATTCAACTAAAGAAATGTTTATTAGTCTTCTAATACATCTTGCACATTTTTAAAGACAAAATTTAATAACCATCCCACATCTTGAATTGCAATACTCTAAATTTTAAACTTATCTGATATTCGTGGTACATCTGATCAATATATCTGTCATATAGACGTCGGTTGTGCTCTAAAATATAATTTGTTATTTGTTATTAGGTATTAAATACAACAATCAACATTGATAAAGGTGACACAGCAGTACTTCAACTGAGATCAACCATGCCAATAGGCTGCAGATATAATGATCTACCTGGTGAAGATTGTATTGAAAACTTTCACATATTTAATCGTGAAAATGAAGGATTTCAATGCAAAGCTGGTGTTGCTAATTTAGCACTGCAACCAAACCAACGATGCTCTAATGGTTTACAGGTTAACCGTCCGATTTAATTATTTTTTATTTTATTAATTTGTTTTCTTTTTGTTTTGTTTCGAGTTATATTTTGTTAATTTGTTGTGGTTTGTTCGTTCTTTTTTTAGTTTTAATTCCAATTTAAATACAAGTTTGTTCATATCGAGGCAGACCGTCAACCAAGTCGTCATTCCTGGATAACTAACCAGGAATTATTTTTTCGGCAGGAGAACCACTACTAGTCCTTCAGGGTTGTTAGCTTTTAAATGGAAAATAATAAACTCATCTGCAGGTGTTTCTTAATTCAAAATTTCAGAGTGATTAATTCTGCATAAGGCGTTGCTAGGATGCCTGGTCTGATGCTTACACAAACCACTTTCGTCATAAACTTTTAAATGTATGTTTTCACTTCAGACACTGAAAAACGGATCAATTTGGAACTCTGATACAGTTTTCAATTTCTCTATTGTAACAACCGACATGAACTATAATGACAAACGGCTATTTTACCTGTTGTTACAATTTCCAAATACAATGGGACATCGAATCTGGAGAAATTATTCTTTTCCACTCGTCAAGGTACATCTTAAAACATTACAGCATGCGAAAAGATATGTATTATAAAGTACTCTCCTTGTTTAGAAAATAAAAATCATACTTTGTTTTTTATGTAATACTTCATTTTTATACAAATATTTCTGTGTTCTTTTTTATGGTATGAAAAATATAGTTTTGCAATATGCATCAGTCGATTTTTTTTTCAATGAAAACAGTCATGTCGGCGTTCCCGATGCCGTTGCCGTTACTGTCCACAAAATATTTTACGTTGAAAATAATTTTTAGATGTTGGTGTATTTTCTTCATACTAGGCCAAAACAACCCCCTTGGACTAGACCCTAAGAAAACTAGACTTAACTTGGCCTTCATTCATAAATGCCTTGTTCTTCAATGTTAAGCGTCCAAATTTGTTTGATATTTGCTCATTTCTATTATTAGTGGCTATAATGTTAATGGAAGGATTGTCTTTAAACACAGCAATCTTTCGGGATATACCTTTAGGTTAATCAGACATACTTGACCTACGTTCTTGTCCTTTAAGATGTAAAACTGAACTTTGAGATATAAGCTTATCTAGATTTTGATAAAGTGACCTTCTTTATTGTCCTTTGTTGTACAGCTATGAAATGACAGTGTGCACAAATTTAGATGTGAAATTGATCATTGACATGAAAATGAAAAATAAATCAGTTCTAATTTTCTTTCTTTTTAGCTTGAAAAACGCTTTATGACCACAACTTTGTTTTTAATATTGTGTGTTTTTATTTTTCGAATTTATAGATAATTGTATCTGACATGGGAGAATACAAAAACAAGATATGTTATTCTCACATAGATCCACATATGAGATCAGCGGATGGCGTGTAAGTATTTGTTTCTTTATCCTAAATAAATTTGTATCCGTAAGTCAAGGCTTAATAAATAAAAACATGAAATCTTGGTTGTACGCAAGATTGCTTAATTGATTGCTGTATTGTAGTTTTTGAAGAGCATTAAAACAAGATACATATTGAATTTGATATGAAGCTGTATTTCTTTTTCAAGACAATGTCTTTAAAGTTTCTGTGAAATCTGAAGTTTTAAAATTGAATAGACATACATTAGTCACACTCTCTTTTGTTTCTGAAATTAAATCATACTTCGATTTGACACAATTGGGTATTCAGCTCTTGCCTTAAAGTAAAAAAAACGTTTTAATGTCTATATCAAAGTTTTATATAAAGAAAACCAAATAACTTATAGTGATTTCTCTTAATTGTTAGATATTACGAGCAGCAAAAAAAGAATGGTTCGCATTTTCCGGGGATTTTCCTGATGTATAATAACACGAAGTATGGAATCGAGGTATACCTTATAACATATGACAGTATCTTTAGCCATGAAATACTACCATTTTAATGAAGTTTTCGAGAAAAAAATATATTAACATGTAACTTCATCACTATTATTATTGTTCATATTTTCATTTCAAACCAGACGAAACAATATTAATTATCTAGTATTTTGGGAGAGAGAAGATGTTCAGAGTATGTTTGTATGTATGAAATGTACAATATTGGTGACAAAGGAAACTCATTTTGTAGAATATATAAAGAAGTCAATTAGGTTTGTTAATAGTATTTGAGATCCCTTGTTATTCCAGGTTCAAGAACAAACTAAGAAATGTAACCAGTTTGCAACGTGCGCCTGTGGTATCGCGATACGAGCTGGTAAAGATGTATTCATGATAAATAGATGTGGCAGTATCAAATATATTGGCTTTACAAAATGCGAAGACGGTGGTATTTTGCAAGTTATAAAAAAAAACGATTACAACTACGATGTAAGTAATCTTTCAAGTTGCTTCCAATAAATAATATTTATAATTCCTGTTTATAACACACCCGTGCCGATTTTGCGACTCCGTAAATATGGTATTGCACGGCCGTGCATATATTTTGACGTGACGTCATTAGCGTTATACAAACATAGTGTAAAGACGCGCTAAATGTTAGCGTTATAATATAATTAAAAATGACTCTTATTTCACTTTAAACGGTCTTTATTTTGGGTATGTGATAAATAGAATATTAAATTCATGTAAGTTCATAAATGAATTTATTGCACTCGTTGAATAAAATAATATTATGCTCGCCAGAGGCTCGCATAATATAATTTTATTTAACTAGTAAATTCAGTATTGAACTTACACACTTTCAATTTCCTCTATGTATAATATTCTATCAAAGCATTGAACGACTTTGGAACTAAGAGTAAGTTTTGTCAATACTGATAAAAATAGCAGTAAAACTATTAGTAGTAGTAGAAATGGTAGTTATATGTGAGGTAGTAGTTGTGATACTGGTGGCAATGGATGCGGTGAAAGTTGAAGAGGTTTTCTTGGTGGTGGTAACGGTGAAAGTAGTTACCATGGGGAAATGTTGTTGATGGTATTTATGGTAATAGTACTGGTTAAAGTGTTAGTGATGGCAGCGGTAGTGGTATGTGAAGTGGTGGTAGTGATGGTTGAAGTGGAAGCGATGGTATTAATGACAGTATTAGAAGTAGCAGAAGTAGCAGTAGAAGTAGAGGTTAAAGTGTAGTAACAGCAGTAGCAAAAGCAGTTTTAATGACAAAAGTGGTGGTATAAGTTATAAATGTAGTTATGCAGTAGAAGTTGCAGCAAAAGCAGCAGCACCGGATGAGGTACCCGTAGTAGCAGAAAAAAAAGGAAAAAGAATCA